ACTTACAGCACACCCATAAAGTGAGGCCGAGACACCAGCACCAGCACTGGTCTCTATCTATGCGTCCAGCCCCCCAAAATCTCGCTTTGTGAATAAGAACCATCACATCCTCTCACAACAATGGACCCGCCTCAACATCCCCCCCTCACCCTCACCCAGCCTTGTAGAAAAGGGGGCGGTGGGTGGGGGATGTGGGCGGGGTTGACCATGGTTATAATCAAAACCATATTTCTTATTTTAAAAAATCAAACCGCGTTAGCATCATGGACGAGGCGGTATCACCTTGTCAAGGTCATGGTCGTCGCCATGACAAAGCTCAGCGACAGAAAGGCGAGGCTACACATGGTCACCCCCGACCGTCTGCCGATAACGCCGTTCGGATTTTTGTTCCTGGGTGGCGTCTCGATGACCTCCGAGGAGGGCCCGCTCTTCTTCCCGGGCTGCTGCGTGTCGTAGATGCCCGTCTCGTCTCGTGACTCCTGGGACTGGGCCGGGTAGATCGTTGCGGACTTGGTAGTGGACATGGTGCACGGCTCTGCCAGACACGAGCAGGGGAAAAAGAATTCGGGGCAGGGAGTAGGGTGGGGTGGGGCGGGGAGGGTATTGTGTAGTAATTTCAAATTGTCATGAAATTGATAATGAATTCAAGTCAGAAAGACTCAGAGTGAGAGAGACACTTTTATGACAGTACAACAGAAAAGACGGAAGAAGTAACGCCCCCAGAGCTGCATGCATTTCACAGTGCTTTTATTGTTACACTTTTTCTAACCCCATAGGATAAAATCATCACCGGTCACTAATACATACATACACACAGATATGGCATTGGGTTATCATGAACCACTAAAACAAAATGTTTACGGCTAAGTTTCAATATCATAAACCAATAAAACGAAATGTATTTGAGGCTATAATTCAAATAGTGAGCCAACAAATTCAAAAAAAAAAAAAAAAAAAAAAAAGCGTCGAAATGAACATATGTCTAATAAAATGCTACTTACTGCTCGGTGACTTGACGATGAAGTCTATGGGTCGTCCCATGACGTTAACCCTCTCGCTGCCACACGATGGATCTGCTTCCAACTCGTACCCTTTGGCTGTCACTTTGTACACCTGAGAGATGTCATCAAAGTTTAAGTACATCACAGGTGTAATGGTTTAGTGCGCAAAAGGCGTCAGTAGCCTTACTAAGATATAATATTATGTACTCAATCCGGGTTGGCCCTGACAGACTGCATCGAAGTAGCCTATCTCCAAAATGATCTAAATTGTCTCGATGAATGTGTGAAATATTTGCAATCAATTAGAGAAGTTCAATTCAGTTTGGTAAATGGGAAAAGTTCCACAGAGCTCGTAACTGCAGATGGTCAAATTTTAATGAGCGCCACCGACACAAGTTGGTTGTTTTCACGTTAGTTCAAAGCACGGCTTGGTTTTACTTAACAAGTCGGAATGGTTGAAGAATCTAAAAATGTACATTAAAAAATCATTTGTAGACAAAATTAAATAGCTAAAGAAACCATGCAAAAACTACCTGGATTAAAGTAAGTAAAGTAAAGCAGAACTGTTTAGCAATCCCACACATACGTGGACATTGGCAATAAGAAACAATTCTGGATGGGTTCCCTGTGTGGTTTGCCCCTTTTTTCCAACCATACACCTATCATCTCTATCTTTCCTTCATCTTTCAGTGTTTGTTACTCTGTTGTAACACCTCTAATCTTCGTTACTTATATAACCTTATTGTGTTGCTAGTGTCGTAAAACTCTTACTAAAACGAAATCAATCCTGTCAACACTCACCAAGCAGTCTGCAGCCTTCCTCAAGTCCCCAGCCCGGCCAGCAATAAGAAACACCCGATCGTTCTCTGTCCAGTTGGCATAACATTGGAGCACGTCCGCTGGAGATATAATGGAAGATAAGTAAAATGTGTAGCGGTAGTATCTCTTTCTCTCTCTCTCTCTCTCTCTCTCTCTCTCTCTCTCTCTCTCTCTCGCTCCCCTCTCGCTCCCCCCTCTCCCCCCTCTCTCTCTCCTGTGTCCTACTCAACCAACAATGCACACACACACCCACACATACACACCAACACACACACACACACACACACACACACACACACACACACACACACACACATCTACCTACCCGATTCTCCTCCAGGACAGCGGCCGTCCACAACTATCTCGGAATCCCTTGAGCATCCAATGTCCAGTTGTCCGGTGCAGTCCGACCCCTTGTGCACATAGTCATAGATGCCTGGCATAGGACAGGCGCTGGTCGGAGCCTGATACGCTGTGGAAGACCAAACAGACACGATTTGTTCTATTACTATTAGTTTTAGTAAGTGTTTTATGGCACTTGAAACACAAAAAGGTCATATAAGTACTGAAGATTAGAGGTGTTACAAGAGAGTAACAAACACAAAAAAGAAGGATGGGAGATAAAGACGACAGATGTTTGATAGGAAAGAAGAAGCACACCACACCAGAGCACCCGCCAACCACGCACACAGACACGATGATAAAATGACAATACAAAAGAAATCAAAACAAACCCCCATCAGACGATATAAAATAATTACATTATAAGATATAGAATATAATTTAATATCATAAGATGAGCCCAGGACAGTAGTAAATCCCTCTTCGCTAACCATTATATTTTATCCAGTAAAAATCTTCAAAAGAATCGACTCATAAAGCAAACAAAATGTCGAGGAGGTTATAACCCTCTCCTGGACATTTTCTCTTTAGCCACAATCGATAACGCCCTATTACTGCTTTATCTCTTAGCCTTTCCACCGACCTCGAAATAACGAAGACGATTCGCAGAACTACAACAAAGACGCAGTCATCAGGGGGAAATAGAAGAAGGAATTGTGTTTATTACAAGCTGTTCAATCCTCCAAGCACATTCACAATTACCTTTCATGCTGTAAAATATTTTGATAACCTCCGAGAAATGAAAAGACGGAGGCATGGATGCAATGACATTATAATGAAGTCTGCGCAGACAATTCTGTTTTCACGACTCCCTCGCCTCCCCGCTCTCTAGACAAAATTCGAAATGTTAGTTAAAAAAATTAGGGGAATAAATTCTCAGAGAATTCCCGTTGAGCGAAAGATAGTTATGTGCCCCCTGGAGTGGAAGTTTATTTATGAGGGCGATGTAAAACCCGCTCTCTGTTTATTTTCCTTCGGGTAGGAGGATTTAGTTTCTGTCTCCTGAATCCCCCGTCTTCGTATTGCTGCAGACAGGTGCGGCTGATGCCGTGTCTAGCTAGGCGTTGTATTCCGATTTGCGTTCCTGTCTGATGAGGGACCTACATTTTTTTTGTCTACGGTGG